CATAATTTCTAAGGAGACATTTCCTGACAATTAGAACGATTAATCAGTGGGAACAGCTTCCCTCCAGAAATTGTGGTGCTCCAATACTGGAGGTTTTTAAGAAGAGATTGGACCACCATTTGTTTGAAATAGTATATAGGATTTCCTGCTTGAGCAGGGGGCCGAGCTAGAAGACCTCCAAGGTCCCTTCCAACTCTTTATTTTGTTATTTTGTTCTAGGCTACGGGACCTTATATACTTTGGCACACAGGTTATTTACCATGTTAAATTTATTTCTGAAACCGATACAGTCAGAAATGTTTACAGGGGTTTTGTTTGTTTGTTCATTTGACAGTAAAATAATTTTGAACCCTAAGGCGAGGGATTAACCTTTTTCCCACGGTAGTCATTTTTTGTATATTGACTAGGTTAGCTTCAAGCTAGGCAGCAGTACTGTAGCACCTCATTAAATTAGGGGTATAGATTAGAAAAGTACATTGGTATGTTTTTTTAAAACATGCTTTCTTCCTATTGGGTCCTAGTTATAGAGTTATTACACAAAATCAATGCAGTTACATACTCACATACCTTGTGCCAATTAGGTTCCCATATAATGCTAAGCCTTAAGGCGTGGTTTATAAATTGCAGCAATTAACACATACTCCAAGCAACCACTATTTCCTACCATAAGATGTGAGCCTCACCAGACAAGAGACTGAAATAGCAACAGGAGTCCACAACAGACTATAAATAAAGCCCCCCCCCAGGGGTCTGACTCATTTCTACAGATTTAAAAAAATACCTGCCTCCAAACAACCCTGAGCAATTTACATTGTAAAAAGCCAGAACAATAAAAGACACACTGCAACAAGATCAATTAACAAGGGTTGAGGCTGCCAGAACAGCAAGAGCCAGAACTTTGTATCTCCCTTAACATCCCAAGCAGGGAAAGAGGAAGAACAGGAGGAGGAGGAGGAGGAGGAGGAGGAGGAGGAGGAGGAGGAAGCAGATGGTATGTTTCTAGATAGAAACACAGGGTACGCAACTTGGGTGTCCTCCTGGATCCACGGCTGACACTGGATGATCAGTTGGCGGCCGTGACCAGGGGGGCGTTTTATCAGGTTCGTCTGATTCACCAGTTGCGACCTTTTCTGGACCGGGACGCCCTACGCACGGTCACTCATGCCCTTGTTACCTCCCGCCTGGACTACTGTAATGCTCTCTACATGGGGCTCCCCTTGAGGAGCACCCGGAGGCTCCAGCTAGTCCAAAATGCGGCCGTGCGGGCGGTGTTGGGAGGGACTCGTCGCTCCCATATAACACCGCTGCTGCGCGAGCTACATTGGCTGCCTGTGGCCTTCCGGGTGCGCTTCAAGGTGTTGACTATCATCTTTAAAGCGCTCCATGGCATCGGACCCGGATACCTTCGAGACCGCCTCCTGCCGCAGATTACCTCCCATCGACCTGTACGCTCCCACAGA